GGACTAAGGGAGAGAGAGAAATTGATTTAAGTGGGGTTAGAAACGTCTGTTATATAAATGTAATTATTATTATTTTGCATCACAGTATATTCAGCAGAGTATAGATGTGGAATACTTTCCATTCTCAAATAGCTAGTACAGGATAGAGAATGAAAGAGAGAGAGAAAAAAAAATGAGAGAGAGAGAGAGAGAGAGAGAGGGGGGGGGGCACAGATGGCTCATGAGGCAGACACCAACAAGTTCATAAAGGTCCACTCATTTGCCAAGCAAAACCCGCAAACAATGCAATACAATTTAGGGGGTTTAGGGGGGGGGGGGTTTACACACAGAAAAATACCAAAGGGGGGTTTTAACCCCCCCCCCCCTGTGTACGCGCCTGAGCCCGATAGTGATTGAGGTACACGTACTTTAAAAAAATCAGAGTTAACGTCAGCCAAAAAAAAAAAGGGGGACCTCCCCTACATTTCCTAAATTGATTATCATTATCATGGACAAAAAAGGGAAATCCCCAGGAAAAACCCGAGTAGTTATCATCTTCAATCTGGCATTGCATTGGACTAATTTGGATATTTTAACTTTGAATTGGCAGCAATGTGTTTCCCCTGAACCTTCCTGTTATTGAGCGATGTAAAGGAAGTATTATGTTTCGAATCAATATACTGGTAAAGTTCAAATAACTGCCTTTCCGGCATGCCCTCTATTTGACGCCTGTCATCGGTGATTGCGGGTGGGGGTGTACTCTTATTTAATAGAGGGGGCGGGTAGGTAGACTGAACAAAATTTGCCTTTTTCCTATCTTTGCCCTCTTGAAGACCTATGATGATTTTTTTTAATAGCCGCTTTCATCAATGATGTAATTCCTGATTTGCCGGAGTCCAGCATTATGTGACAACGAACAGGTGCGTATTATTATAACAAATGTAAACATAATTCTCCACCAGGGAATTATGTAGGCTGGTTACATGTCTTCTTGTATCTAGAATTGGAATGTCATTGTTCGGAACATTAATAAAGTAATCTTAACACCTAAGATCTTTTTTTGTATATATATACCGGATTAATGTTTTGAAAAAGTGCAAATTTTGTGATGAATATTGTCACAATGAAAGAAAAAGCTGTAGTTAACGAATGCGATCTTTTCTGTGCTACGGCTTCATTAAAAGAATAATGTTTGGTATCATATTAGAAGGATATCAATCTTGCTATGAGATTATCAGAGGAGAAATGTATTACCACAAATTAGGAATAGAATAATAATAGATCCCCTTTTACAATGGAATATTGCTTTCATTTTAGGGATTTCCCAACACAAAATTTTAGGGTGGGTTTCTTATTTATTTTTGATGTGACCCTTTCAGGCGCGTACACAGGTGGGGGGGGGGGGGGGGGGGGGGGGAGGGTTTTTTTTTTTGGGGGGGGGAGGGTTTAAACCCCCCCTTTGGTATTTTATGTGTGTAAACCCCCCCCCCCATCACCCCTCCCCCCCCAAAAAAAAAAAAAAAAAAAAAATATTCCCATGGCTGATCTAAAAAGGTGACCTTACCCCCCCCCCCCAACGGACCCAAATGTCCAATTTTCAAATTTCGAGACCAAAAAAAAAAAATAATAAAAGTGTCCTCTTACCCCCCCCCCCCCCCCCTCCGCTTAACCCCCCCCCCCCTTTGGATTAAAAAAAAAAATTATTAAAAAAAAAAAAAAAAAGTTGAGTCGTTGCGATTCTTTTGGGGACAAAAAAAAAGGTGACCTCTTACCCCCCCCCCGCTTATTTAGCGGTCGTCTGAGTTGTTGCGTTTTTTTCGGACCCCCCCCCCCCCAAAAAAAGTGTCCTCTTACCCGCCCCCCCCCCCCCCCGCTTATTCAGCGGCTGGCTGAGTCGTTGCGAAATTTTCGGCCCGATTTATAAATATTAACCCCCCCCCCCCCCCCCCTTGAAAAAATCCTGCGTACGCGCCTGATCGGGCTTCTTCTCATAATTGTGTCTAGTAACCTATTTTCCTCCATTATGATTCCTATAATCTTCTTAATCTTTCATGTAATATTAAATACTCTCATTTAAAGGGCACATGACAACGAAATACAAGTGTCTTCCTGTTAATGTGCAGTCTTGCATACATCTCATATTTTTATATGTAAACTTCTGAATTAGTTTCATAGATTTTTAAATATTTGTTGAAAACCTTGCTAAGCTCCGCCCCAAAAACTCCAGATCTCATTCCCCTTGTGACATCTGTCAGTCATCAATGAGCTAACTTGAGAAAGTGGCATGTAACTTTGGAAAACCCTGGATCCGCCACTGGGTCAACCCCCCTCCCCCCCCCCCCCCCCTTGGCAAAAAGCTAAATACCACAAACAAACCACAAACAAAAAGCCAAATACCACAAACAATAGCAACATATAAGTTGCTATGTCAGACGATGTCACAAGGGGAATGAGATGTGTCATGAGCAATTTAAAAACCCTATCGCTTGTCCCATTGACATGATTGGATAACGTAATACATCATTGCATTGTTCGCACCATCCAAGCGCGGATCCAGGATTTCTTAGGGGAGGGGGCCCAACTTTCTTCTTTTTTTTTTTGCTCCCGAAAATTTGAAAATCGCGCCGGCCGAAAAGTGGCTCAGTGGGGGGGAGGGGGGGGGGGGGGTTGAGAGCACATTTTTTGGTCCTCGGAAATTTTTTAATTTGCACCCCCCTCCCCCTTGAGCGCCAGGGGGGGGGGGGTAAAAAAAAGGGTAAAAATCACGTGATTTTACATGATTTTTTTCTCAAGGGGGGGGGGGTTGGCCCCCCCCCCCCTCCCCTGCATCCGCCACTGGCACCATCATTCCGGTGACGCACATGGTTATCGAGATTTCTTTGATTTTCGAATTAATTGCTATCGTGTTAAAGGTAATGCAAAGTTTTGGGAAATTTTGAAAATTGGATGGATAGTAATCTTTAGAATTTTGATATATTTGGATTCCCCTGTGGATGTATACGCACTAGAAAATTTAGCCCCTAAAACTCTCTTCTGCTTTCGAGAAATTGTATAATAAAAAATTACCGGTGCTCCGGTAAATTTCAAATACTTCAAATAGCGCCTACGGTCATTCCATGGCAGCTGAAAATAGCGTGAAAATCTCAGAATATGTAGTTCTGATATATAATTTCCAAATGGGAATAGCAGATCGGTCGATTGTAGTCAAGAAACATTGTTTTCGGGTTAAAGTAATACCAGTCTTGAGAGGGAGCTATACAACATACGGTATATTATTTACAATTTCATCACTTTAGATTCGATTTCAACCGCGACAACGATCATGGAATATTGTAAAATCGCATATGCTTACAATATGTTCATTAGAACCAAATTCATGACCCCATACCAAAACTTTATATTACCTTTCATTGAGAGACAGAAGTATCAAATATGGAAAATAGTTTGCGAAAGATTTGACAATGTTGTGTTCTTGCTATATTTAGGACGCTCAAGGTCGGCCTTGAAATAACCCTAGAAAATCCACAAAGATCATGCCCTAACTATCCCACACCCTCTCTTCCGTTCTTTATTTTACCTCCTACCTTCTTTTCTTTTGATCAATTCATCCTTCTCGCTGTATATTTCATACCTCCATTTTCTTTCCACCATTACTGTTTGAAATCGACAAGGCTACCGAGTGGGGTCCAGTTTCATAAAGCCTTTTTTCACTGACAAATGGCAAAAACCAGAGACGAATCTGCCGATAACCAACGAGAAGCAAGGATTTCAGTAGCTTATAAGAAAAACTGTCATTTGTCACTGAAGACAAGTTTTGTGAAACGGTAGGAAAAGTAGTCTAGGCGTCTTCTTTTTCCTGCTTTATTTCCTCCTCTTTTTTCTTTTAACGAAAAGGTTAACCCCCCCCCCTCTCTTTGTCGCTCCATCTATTTTCGTTCTCATCCTTAATATATACCCAAACCCAAGTGAACTATTCCCCTTTCATTTTACTATGGTCTTCCGTCCATTTGTCTCTGTCTCTGTCTCTGTCTGTCTGTCTGTCTCTCTCTTTCTATTTGTACAGGCGACCAATAATGCTCCAGACTTCTTATTCTTTTCGCAGATGTTTCTGCATTTATTGAAAAAAATAAAATAAAAAATATTCAAACAACAATAATAATATATAATAAAATTGATTAAAAGAAAATGTGTGAACTGAAATACACAAAAAATGCTCATATATATAATTGAAAACTTGAAAAGTATGGAGGTAAATCAAAGAATCAAGATGAATGCATAGGCCAACTAAAGCATTCATGCTTGAGTCAATAGCAGACGGGAAGGGGGGGGGGGTATAGTAAAAGTATATAATCAGGGCTATAGGACTCCTACTAAGTTTCAGGTTAGGTTTGGTGTTAAGATTATGTACAATATTAAGTCTAGAGTTAAAGTTAGAATTCGGTTAGTGAAGGAAATCGAGGGTGTGTTATAGATCATCTTTCACCCCGTCCTCTTTTACAAGTCACCTTGCAGCCAAAACAAAAGAGTTAAAACCTGGGAAAGGCTTGATGGATTGGAATTAAACAATTCAATTCAATATAACTATTTCATAAGAAAATCACAAAATTCTTAACTGAAAATTGGTCCCATGGACATGCACGTTAATCCGTTCCGTGACTTTTCGGCTAGTTGTCCACCTAACCAATTAATAGGGACTTTTAGATTTGCACGTCGACATAGTGGACTGCTACGTGTGACGTCCTTGTAAGGCACTGTGATGTTTTTTAAGGCACTGCCAATGTCTCAAAAGTACGTCACACGGAGCAGTCTACTATGTCGACGTGCAAATCTAAAAGTCCCTATTGAGCCCTTGACCGTGGTTGTCGGTTTCGTGGGCTGTACTGAACCTTTCATGGTTTTGTGAATGTTTCGGCCAAAATAATGTCAGATGATTATTATGTGACCAAAACCTAATTATTTCTTGTATATTGCAGTTTAGACTTGTAGGCCTTCGGTCTTGTGAACCACAATCGTCGATCGTCGATCGGCAGCAATGGTCTTGTGGTCCTAATTTTGGCTCGGGACCGTCGAACATTTTGTCCACTTGCAATTGTATTATACCTTACATTTATAATTATGTTTCTTTGTTATTCAGTTATATTATATTTGGAAAAATGCAAAAATAAAAAATAAATTAAAATAAAATCAATTCAAATGGTTGACCCCTAAATAGGTTTAAATGGTACACACAGCACATGTTAGCTCATAGCCGTTCACATATGGGCCACACTGGATCCCTCCTGAGGAGCACCGAGCCTCTACCATGTAGAAAAGGGCCCCATGCTGATTGCCAGTCGTTCCAGGAACTCCCATGGCATCCTCGTCCATGCAGACGAAATCGGTCCTGGTCGTTTGCGTGTACAAACTCGACATGAGATACCCCTTGTATTCCAGACGCCATTTTGAAGATGGGCATTCGTTACGAGCGGGAATCATGAGCTTCGTGAGGCGGGTTGGTGGGGCACGGCAGACGGCACAGGCTGGTGTTTGGTCGTGGAGACTCTGCAGGTGTGGAGCTGTGTTTGTTTGGTATTCAGCAGAGTAAAGCAGGGATCTACTCCCGTGGGCAGTTGTCTCAATTTCACTGTAGATGGGTTCGTGGGGAGGCAAAGATAGTTGACACCACCGCCAGTGTGAGTGTAATAGGCACCCGTAGCCATACCTGTGTGATGGGCAAAGCGACATTTAATTATGCCTCTTCTAACTCATTGCATTTTCAAAGTTGAAAGGCGCTTATTTTCATTTAAAAACTCAACGAAATATGCCTACATAGATATAGAATTTTGGTAGGAAAAACAGATAGAACAATCACATTTGCCATTCAAAGAAAATGTCCCCCCCCCATATTGTCCTTTAAGCACTACACGACGAGATTTGGGAAGAATTTGCGATAGCAATTTATATGAACATTCAAACATGTGAAAATCTTAATGACCGAGGATTTGAATAGCTATGTGATTTATATAATCTAAATTTCAAGGGATTTTGAAGTTCCTTGGAGGTTGATTAGCTAAATCGACTCAAAATCGCAGTGACGTTAGACTGATAATGCGATTGATTGTCTATGCTTTGTCGACAGTTGATCCGACGACAATTGCTCCGCCGATATTTGCTCCTACGACACTTTCTCTGCGGACAATTAATTTCTCCACCATCAATTTCTCCGCGAACAATTGCTCCGCATGAAGCGATAAATGCTCCGGTGACATAAACCGCGACAAATCCTCCCCGAATTGACATTTGCTTCTCCGACAGTTGCCTCGCCAACAATTGCTCCGACGACAGTTAGTCCTCAAAAAAGAAAATTGCCCCGTGGAAGACAAATGCACTTTTGGATGATGATCGAAGAGCAATTTTATTGTCAGCGGAGCATTTTTTATTTTGTTTTAAGGTGCACTCCTGATACGTTGGCGGAGCATTTGTCTTCAACGGGGTAGGCCTACTTTTGGGGAGGAGCAATTATCGTAGTATAGCATTTGGTACTGACTACTGAGCACTACTTTTGGGCGGAGCAAACGTCGTCGGAGCAAATGTCGGTGGAGTAACTGTCGTTCGGGGAGCATTTGTCACCAGAGTATTTATCGCTTCATGGGGCAATTGCCGGCGGATCAATTGTCGTCGGACCAACTGTCGATGGAGCAACTGTCGGCGGAGCAAGTGTCGTGGGAGCAAATATCGGCAAAGCAATATGACGCCGGAGCAACTGCCGGTGTGGTAGGCGATTTGTTCCGGGTTCCGCGGAACAAATCGGCGCGCCGATTTGTTCCTCGGAACGAATCTACTGGATCGACTCGTTCGCAGATACGTTCGAAAGCCGCCGTTCTTATCCGACATTGGCCGAACGTTTCTGCTTATATAATCGCGTATATTTTTATTACTTGTGTCGAATAAACATGGTAAAGATAAATTTTAGCTTTATCTTGATACTTTTGTATTTATTGTTGGAATGAAAACCAATATTATTTTTTTGGAAATATTACTTAATAATAAGGTTTATAACCTCGTATGGAATTACCCACGCGCGGTACGAAAAATAAATAAATAAATAACCTACTGACTAGCATATGCGCATAGAGTACATGTATATCATATGCATGCACGCACGTGCATACTCGGCACGGGGGGGGGGGGCAGGCGATAATTTTCTGATATTAGGCCTACATGTACGTGAAAATGTACGTGAAATTAGTGGTTTCCAAACAAGGGGGCGCAACAGATCTGCCACTGTATGTAGCGGAATGGGGGGGGGGGGGGGGGGGGGGGGGGGTATAGACACACTATGCTATGGCTCTGTTTAACACTAACTTTTGTCGGCTAGTACCAAGGGTTGAAAATTCAACAAAATATGTCGGGTTTTTCTTTTATTTCTTTCTTTTTTATTCTGCCGGACACGTCTTTTACTTGAGGAATTTTCTTTCTCTTCTTTTTTTTTTATTTTTTTTTTATTGGTCCTTCTTAATTATCAGCTCGACCACTCATTTCTTTTTGTGTTGACCCCGGCCCCCCCCCCCCACCCCACCCCGCATCTCTTTCATTTAAACTACATGTACATCATTCATGCAGCCCACATGCATAATTAGATTCTGTGATGATCAGCCCGGTAATAGGTGGTTGACGTAACACGATATCATATAAAGCAGCATTCAAACCAAATTAGAAGGCCTGATTAGAAAACACCCCGACATCTGCTTTTACAGGCAAACTAAGCCTATGGCAACAACTGCCCTTTTTGCTAGACCCGACCCAGTCCCCGTCGCTTCGCGACGGCGCTGTCTATAGTTACTGTTTGTGGTCAATCATTGGCCGCAATTATCAACATATTTGAACAACGGGAATCTGCATTTCTATACAAAGTTCTCAAATTGGCAATCGTTGGTGTAGCTAATTTGGAGAAGTTTGATTGGTTGCAAAGGCCGACCAGAATAGTTCATTTTGCTTTAGGGGTGTACCATGGCGTGTATTCAATAATACGTGAGCACGCACGCTCTCCGATGAGATTCGGAACGGATCGGCGGCTAAATATCCCGCCGATTGGTTCCACGGAATGAATCGCCTGGCCGGAACCGATCGCCTGTGACTAGCGGAACGAATCTACGAATCCGGAACAAATCGGCGGGTACATATCCAGGCGATCGGTTCCGGAGGAACCGATCGCCTGCACGGAACAAATCGCCTATGACACCGGCGTAGTAATTGTCCGTGGACGTCGGAGCAAATGTCGCGTAGCAAATGTAACGGAGCAATTGACGATTTTTGCAGAGCATTTGTCACCGGAACAATCGTCGCGGGAGCATGTGTCGGGTTACCCGTTTTTTGTGTTGCTTTTTTTTCTTTCTAGATTGTGTGTTACATTCGTATTGTTGATTTTTATTCATAAGAAAATGAACTGATTACCCGGCCTAACAGATTTTTTGTTGTTATCGAATCCCTACACGAGATTATAAATCCAGGACCTACCTGAATAGACCAGTTCTGATCCGTCAGCGCAGTCGTCTCGTCCCCAGTGCGTATATACAGTGCCACCTGGCGTAGAAAGATGAGAGATGAAATAACTCAATACTTTGATTTTAATTAGCGTACAAAGAGTATCGAAATGCTAATGTCATACTCGCTCGTCGTCCAGGTTACTGGTTCTAAATATCAGACCCTGCGCATGCATGAGGTTCACCGCGAAATCATTCAAGCATCGGTCTGGATCAGGGCAAATTCAGTGTTTAAGGCTGGAGAGATCACGTCCTGCACCATTGTGTGGCAAGAAATTATTTGGAACCAGCAACCATAACGACTTGGCAAGTATGACGTCACACTTCGGTACCTTATTCATGGTTCTAGGACACCTTTCCCCTGGAAAACCACCGCTAGGATAACCACCCTATAGGACGACTACCCCCTAGGGCAACAACCCCCGGACAACCACCGCGAGACAACTACCCCTTAGGACAACTATACCTCCTAGGAGAACTACCCTCTGGACAACTGTCCTAGGGGTAGTTAGTTGTCCGGTGGTAGTTGTCCTACGGTGGTAAACGTCTTAGAGGGTAGTTGCTCTACAGGGCAGTTATCGTAGGGGCAAGCGCGGATCCAGGATTTCTTAGGGGAGGGGGCCCAACTTTTTTTTTCAAATTTTTGCTCCCGAAAATTTGAAAATTCGAAAAGTCGCTCAGTGGGGGGGGGGGGGGGGGGGGTACTTGCCCTAGCGGGTAGTCGACCTAGAGGGTGGTTGATCTAGAAGATTGTGATCCTCGGGGTGATTATCGGGGGGATGTCCAGGGGGTGGGTGTCCGGATACGCTTAATCATATCCCGCTGATTCAACGTCATACCCAAATGTATAACGCATGATAGTTGATGGAGTTAAAAAATGACCTTATACTTGTATATTTAAAAAGATACTTTCCATACATTATGACCCCTTTTTTGCATAAAAATGGGCTGTAAATATGCACATGTGTAAAAATTTAACACTTTGACATGTTCGTGTTTTCGCATTTACATGTTTTCAAATGTCATGAAAATATAAACCTCTACTTGAAATTTCTTATTCTAGCAAAAATACTCACTCCACCCCATACAACAAAAACGCAAACGTTTCAGTGTTCGCGAAGATCCCGAAATGCCATCCCCCCCCCCCCTTTTTAAAAAAAAAAATCCTGAGTCTGCCCCTCATTATTACCAGCTGGTGTGAGCGAATGGTGGCCGAGGAGGATTCGGCTCAGCTCTTCGATTCCTGTCGCAGCTTCGGACTCGTTCGTGAACGTTGTCGCAAGAGCCGAGAGTGATAAATCTCCACTTCGGCGGTTCCGATTGGGCCAGTGGTTCCCTGGGCTATCTCCGATCGTTTCCGAACCGGATTCGTGTGAGGGCTGGTCATGTGAAGTAAAGAATAAAAAAGTTGATTGCAATATTGAAACGTATACCCAGACTTTGTGTTGATTTAATCTGAAAATGACATGCAATATTTCATAGATCTTTTAACAATTATTAGACAATCTTATAAAGAACGAATATTTATGATTGTTATTGATGCTATACGTGATGCATATTCTTTGTTAAATCCAAAGGCAAAAGTGACGGCTGTATATCCCTGTATATTGTTAAGCGTCCAGGCACACTACTCCCCCATCATACGTACCCATGCGCTATAGCTAATGACAATAGGGACTTTTAGATTGAGTGGACGAGAACACGACGAACGCCGACTGATCATGCGTGTCAACGTACTCAACTGCCCATGTTGACTACAATTAGAAATCTTTTAGATTGCACTCGACGATATACATGCATGCAGGAAGTAACACTATGAACATGACAGACAAAGAAAGAGGACAAAATATACAGTTCTTCATTCTACCCACAACAATTGCTGTGGTAGAACATCCCTTCACTGCTATTATGTAAAAATGTGTAGAACAGGTGAATATGCATGTGACACCTGTTTTTACACATTTTTACATAATAGCAGGGAAGGGATGTTCCTTTGTCTACCTGAGGAACTGTAGATTTTATGCGCACGAGACATATACTAGTACCATACTAGATTTAGGAAAATCAAGGTTGACGCATTCTCGATCGCCTACTGAGATGACGTGACGCATGCGCAGTGCCTTAAAATGACGTCACACGTTGCAGTCAAAACTGTCGACGTGCAAATCTAAAAGTCCCTAATTATTACAGGTTGTATACTGTAAGTGTAATGTAGAACTTATTGTTGATGTAATAAAATGTCGAAGGTTATCATAATTTCATTTCATAATTTATGTAGTCCTAGTAGGCTGATGACGTTTGATGAAGAAATAACAAGACAAAATCAAATTATAGATATTGTTTACCTGCAGCAATGGAATAACTTGTCTCAATTCACTCACTAACTCCCGGAAATTTCTCGAAAGTTCTTCCAGACTCGCTGAGGTCGAGGCGTCACCTAATGATGAATTAAAACGGATGGAAAGAAATTCAAATTAAATGATACTTTGGATGAGGTGTCGTGCATGGTGGAGTGATTCATTCATTAAAGAGTTGAGGGTTCGAATCCCAGCCGGGCACTAACGTCATTTGGCATGACATTAATCCACATGTGGCACTCTCCAGTACCCTGTGTAAGATGTGAATTTCTGTTTGCTCATAATGGTGCCTAGCTTGAAGGCTCCAGAGGGAGTTAAGAATGTGCATACATTGACCGGGATTATTATTAATACAATCAGCAACAACAACACAAGTTAGCTCTCTATACTGTTCAAAATGTTTATATAAACCGTCAATAATATATAATAAAATAAAAGCATATCAAATGAAAGAAAATTACCACTAATATCAATGAAGATCAAGTTTTGAACTTTATCGCTTGGATTGCGGAAATAGAGAAAATAGAGCAAGTAGATATTTAAATGTTGATGGATACTATACGTGCATCTGTAAAACATTCTTGTTCAATAATTAAAACAAAGAATGATTGATTGATTGGTTGATTTTTGTTCGCCAAGCTTCCAACATACAATATACAAGAATAACAGAGTCAGCTGGAACAAGATAACCCACGAAAGCTCGAGAGCTTATTTTCAGTGGGGTCCTCGACAGACATGTACAAAATCAATAAGTTAAAATAGTAATATTTACAGATAGATAAGAAAAGAAAAACTTATACAAAAATAATAACGATGATAATGATAATAACAACATTAAACTGATGATAGAAATGATAAGAGGTACAAGAAGAAAAAGAGGAGGAGGAGGAGGAAGAAGAAGAGGAGGAGAGGAGGAGGAAGAAGAGAAAAATAATGATATATATGTAGTATGATGAGGGTTGAGCTCTGAGTGTCAACAGTAATCTCAGGAATGCATGGCTTCTGCTGAACTTTGGAACAGATTACCTTTAAATGTAAAAAAAACTGTCAAACCGTTAACCTATTCAAAACTAGTCTCAAGACACATTTATTCAAAATTGCGTTCGATGTTTAATTAACTCTGTTCACTTTGACGTGTATTCCATATGTATTGTAATTTGTATGTCTATTTGCATTTTTAGTTTTGTATAAGATGTAATTGTATATCAGTCTATTTTGTGTGTATAGCGCTTAGAGACTTCGGTGGTAAGCGCTTTATAAGTAACGTTTTTTATTTATTATTATTATTATTATGGTTTTGACACGCACAGTAAAGTTGCCTCTTCTTTCCACCGAAGATCGTGGATGAGCCGTAATTTACCTCTAATGACCATTAACATTTGAATGGACTGATTGACGCACAATATTTCTTTAAGATACTCATTTATTGTTAAATGGATATGTTCACTTATGCATGAATGATATGATTCCGATTGCAAACCGTCTTAAATAGAATTCATTTATGTTTATTTTGATGAAAGATAAGTGTTTACAAGTATTTTATTTGAAAATCTTAACCGTCTAAGAAGTGTTCACTCTTTCTTTATTTATTTCTTTCTTTCTTTTGCTAAGTGTAAAGCATTTAGAAATATCGACTGCTAGTATAGTGAGACCTATTTAATACAGAATATTTTTATTATTTGAGCCCTTTATTTCGTGATCCAGTCATAGTCTAGAAATACACATCCACTACATAAAAGCACCATTTATAATACCATGAAAGGAGACAAAATAATCCCCATCGCATAGAAGAGGGGAAATAAAGTCAAGGTTTTGAAGAAACCTTGAATAAGTGAATAATATACAAACATAATAAATACATAAAAAAATAAATATATAAGTACATAAACACATAAATACACGAATACCTAAATACTACACAATACGTAAATACACAAGTCTATAAATACATAAGTACGTGAATATATAAATACTTGACTACAAGCAAAAAACAATTTTTAATAAATACATAAATAAACGAATGAATAGATACACTAATGAATGAATAAATAAACAAATAAATAAATGGAAAAATAAATACATATATAAGTCCAATACGCTACTCTATATATCCTAGAGAAAATCACTATTAGATCACGCAATACGTCGTCGTAATATTTACACATTTCAATAGGTGAAGATCAAGGCTTATGCAATTGCCTTAGGAGGAGTTTTCGAAAGCCTTTACCATGGTATAGATAGCAGATAATTACCTCGGCCCCCACTCAGTGTTATTTAGGGCACGCGTATGCATGTTCCCTCCTTTTAAAAACACCCCCTAAGTCCGGTGTGTAAAGTCAATACGGGCCGGATTTTTGTGTACTACGAGCCGGACTTTGGTGCGTGAAAAGTACCCCTATACCAGACATCTTGGGAACACGCATGCGGTCTCTCCGATCCCGGAGGGGAGGGGGGGATGGGATAATTACCTTGCGTGACGGGTGAAGACGCAGCGAGACAGAGAATGGATCCCAAGAAACAGACGAGAAAGTATGATGCTGCCATATTTTGCTTCTTCTTCTTCTTTTCTTCTAGTAATCTTCAAAAGGCTATACAGCCTGTCACGGAGATGAACTAAATATTACAAGTGGTGTAAGGAAGACAAATGAGGTATAATGAGATAAGGCTTCGGGGATATAGTCCCTGGAAGTTTTCTAGCTGGACTGTCAGCGTGCACTACAATTTGTTGGAAGGCTGTACCGTGCACTCTGCTTGCTGTCAAACGGATAGTGGAATGCCCTGATGAGCGAACGTATATTTATAGAAGGTACACCCCCGCCCGCGCCAGCTCCATTGCGCACGCACACACACTGAAATAGTATGAACGATAGAAATAGGGAGAGAGAGAAAGAGAGAGAGAGAGAGAGAGAGAGAGAGAGAGAGATCTGTGCGTTTAACGCACGGATTGGCTCCACGGGCTTTCTAAATGATGACGTCATCATTTCCGCGATCCAATCAAAAGACAGAATACGGGGGGGGGGGGGGGGGGGGGGGGGGAGGTTGTCTGTGATACATGACTTTGTATAAGAGGAATAAATGAAAGTAAATGGATAGATGAATGAGGGAATTATTTAATGAATGAATGATTAACTTGATGGACGAATGAATGGATAGATTGATTGAATTAATGAATAAATGAATGAAAGTATGAAAGAAGGGATAGGGGAATGAATAAGAGAAAAAACACCAAGAAGAAACACCATCAACCCGCAAACAAAAGAAGAAGAAAAAGGTTTCATTTATGCGTCATGGACAAATAGTGAAATATCCCCCCCCCCAACTGTAGTAAGATTTCTATTTCATATACACTGCCCAAACCCGGGGGGGGGGGGGGGGTACTCACATATTAGGACATACGAGGGTGTGCCGCTCTAATGGGTAACTTTTCACAAAAAATCCCTAAACATGGGTCCCACTTTTAACAAAAAATACCATTCCAAAACACCCGAAAAACACCCATTTGGGGGGGAAATATGTGTTTTCGGGAAAATTCCCCTGAATAATGGGTAGGGGTTTCGAGGCTTATGCGGCACACCCCGTCCAAACCAAATGGGGCAAACAGAATCACTGGCATGTTGTGTGTCGAGCCATTGAGGAGGCACACTGGTGTCATTGGCCGGAGGGGGTGAGGGGGGGGGGGGGGTCACGATCTTAATCGGTAGATGATCACATGCGAGGGAAACAAGTCGGTCGAGTGAAGAACCTATATCATCCTCCACCTTGTCCTTCATTGTCTTTTATCGATTTTTCTCTTTCTATTCTTTCTTGCCACTGCATGCGATATGAAACTATAAGTAAAGGAGAGGGCCATCCAGATATTAAGTTGTGTTCTTAATTAGTGATAGAGGACCTTAAGCCGTCGGTCTCCGGTTGCTTACTAAGAAGCATGTATGCTTTCTTAGCAGTCAGGTAAAATAACCACCACTACATTATATAAGTAACAAGTCAGTACAAATTTTGAGCAAACGCCAATTTAAAATAAGAAGGATATGTAGGTGCAGTCAATCAAACAAAAATTAGCAACTCTGTGACTTATCTAACGAGCTCGCCTCCCATTTGCTCTGTACTAAAAACAAACAAAAAACAAAGGCAATCCCTATATTACACATGTCTATTCCGTCATCAATAACTAACAAAATGAAAGTTTATGACATTTTCTGTACAGAGCAAATTGAAGAGGAGCTCTCAAGTTACGCCCCAGTTTTGCTAATTTGTGTTCGACTGATAATAATAATAATAATAATAGTACATAAAGCGCAGAAACTATCCAACATTAGGTATATATTCTACTGCGCTACAAGAGCTCCTGATATGCTTAGATTTACGGTACAGTTAATTAAAAAGAAGTGTTTTCAGTTTGACTTAAAGACGTTTACAGATGGTGATTTCCTGACTTCAAATGGCAAGTTATTCCAGAGTTTTGGGGCTGCACAAGCAAATGATAACATAAATTCTTAATTTTCCTACTTTTAATCGGATATTGCTTAAACTTTCACCGATTGGTCTCTCATTTTCTTTCTTTATTATTTATTTATTTGAACATATTTCATCAGAATAACAAGATCGGAAAGAACTGGTTTACATCCTTTCTGCTTTTATCAAAACCGAGATGATATCAAGGCACACTTCCCTATATCAGTATACATACAGGTATAACCAGGGGTGTGCATTACGGATCGTGTGTTTTCCTGTTATTCCAAAATGTCCTGTTTTGAAACTTAATGAATTGTTATCCAAACTCTGTATAAGTGTGAAATATAGTTGATGCAACAAAGAGCGAGTGAGAGCGTTGATCTACTATCATGGTGAGAGAGAGAGGGAGAGAGAGAAAAAAGGAGAGAGAAAGAGAAAGCAAGAAAGAGAGAGAGAGACAAAGAGAGAGAGAGTAATCGCGGTTTTCCTGCAATGTGTCCGCCTATAATTGTTGGTTTCGAGGTCCGATTTCTTTCCGCATATTTTTTCTCTATTTTTCACTGTAAAATAGTTTATTCCCTTATTTCCATGGAATTTCCCGCTTTCTTCCACCCGCTGCTCATCTCCGGAATTGACCTCTTTTCCATCCTGTTATTAGATTGTCTGGTGTGATGTAAACATTAAAAACCTCACAAAACATAATGATAAAAGCGGGAGGGGGCGTCAGGGACGGGTCTGCACGCTTGCCAGAGAAACACTTCTTTAAAAAAAAAAATCATTCTGTAAGTAATTTTATTTTCTTGTCCTCCAAACAAGGCCACATACTCTATTTTGTCCTTCTTTTTATTCATGTTCACTGCCTCTCCTTCCTGTTCTTCTCTTCTTCCATCTTCCCCTCCTCCTCCTCCTCCCCTTCTCTTTCTTCTCCATCGTCTTCTTCTTCTCCTTCCTCTTCTGCTCTATCTTTTCCTCTTTCTTCTTTCTCTTTCTCTCAAAATATTAATTATTTCGCCCACAGCGCCTCAATGAAAAGGATACAAATTTCTATTTTCACATTATTGAGATATCTAAAAACGTTTTTGAGAACAAATAACCTAACTACCATGTATTTCAATTGTGTGAAAACAATCAAAGATACGTTTTTTTTTAAAACGATTCCCCCCCCCCCACATGGATTGTAACGATTCCAGACTCATTATTTCATTTTTGTTGAGTTTAAACAACTTCAAAACATCGAAACTGTTCTCCCATATCCCAAAGACAAAATATAAGAAACCAACCGCTTCATTTTGGGGCCAACCTATTTTCTGATTTTCCCTAGATTTGCCTGATTCTTCTCGATTCAGTTTGTAGGCGAAGTCACAGAGCTGGCCGTACCATGGACACTAACTCTGGACCAACTCACATCTTCCTTGTTGTGGAAAATCAAATAACTTATGAACTCATTACTAGGATAGCAGGAACCTAGACGAATAAACGTGCTTTAAGTCATGTAATATTTATCTAAGGGTCTAATTTGTATGTCTATTTTGTCCAATTCTATTTGAATTTCGAGAGTATGTTCTCCTCTCATGACCTACTTATTATCAATAACAATGCAACAAAACATTTCCCTTTAGAGCCCTATAAAACTCAATCTGAAATATAAACATTCTCTTTCATTTCAATTTGTTGTTTCCACTAATCAGATTTCATGCATTTTAATGTCTTATACCTAAACTAGTAATGACAACTGATAAATATTATATTGGAAATCCTATATAGAGAAAAGTGAAATACTGAAATACATGTACAGATGTTTAAGATTGATGATAGCTGTTTTATTTTTATGCCTCCGCCACCGAAGGTGGTGCCGGAGGCATCATGTTTTCGGGTTGTCCGTCCGTACGTCCGTCCGTACGTACGTCCGTCCCGTTTGACCGTTATCACAATATCTCAAGAACCATTTAAGATCTAAACTTAAGACTCGGGAATAGTATTTATCACCATAGGAAGACGATCTGATTAGATTTTGGAGTACGTAGGTCAAAGGTCACAGGTCACAGAGGTCAACTTATGAAATTCCTTGTATTGAGTTTGTTAGCGCGATATCTCAAGAACCATTTGAGATTTAAACTTCAAACTTAAGGATAGTATGTATCACCATAGGAAGACGATCTGATTAGATTTTGGAGCACGTATGTCAAAGGTCAAGGGTCACAGAGGTCAACTTATGAAATTCCATACATTGAGATTGTTATCATGATATCTCAAGAACCACTGGAGATTTAAACTTCAAACTTAGTGATAGTGTGTATCACTATAGGAAAACAATCTGATTACATTTTGGAGCACGTAGGTCAAAGGTCAAGGGTCATAGAGGTCAATTTATGAAATTCCATACATTGAGATTGTTATCATATCTCAAGAACCACTGGAGATGTAAAAACTTCAAACTTAAGGATAGTATGTATCACCATAGGAAGACGATCTGATTAGATTTTGGAGCACGTAGGTCAAAGGCCAAGGGTCACAGAGGTCAACTTATGAAATTCCATACATTGAGATTGTTATCATAATATCTCAAGAACCACTGGAGATTTAAACTTCAAACTTAATGATAGTGTGTATCACCATAGGAAGACAATCTGATTAGATTTTGGAGCACGGAGGTCAAAGGTCAAGGGTCACAGAGGTCAACTTATGAAATTCCATACATTGAGATCGTTATCGCGATATCTCAAGAACCACTGGAGAATTTTCACTTCAAACTTAATGATAGTATGTATCACCATATCATAATTTCTCAAGAACCACTGGAGATTTAAACTTCAAACTTAATGATAGTGTGTATCACCATAGGAAGACAATCTGATTAGATTTTGGAGCACGTAGGTCAAAGGTCAAGGGTCACAGAGGTCAACTTATGAAATTCCATACATTGAGATTGTTATCATGATATCTCAAGAACCACTGGAGATTTAAACTCCAAACTTGTTTAAATTGCTCTATGGCGGAGGCATCATTTTCGACTGCGCGCAGTCAAAATTCCATCTAGTTTTTTATGATTTATGAAGTTATGTAAACACAAATGTCATTTTAATTATTTCAAGTGAGGCATAGGGTATTTCTGTACGAAGCAAAAATGCCTGGCTGCGATTTTTTTTAAATGAAGATAATCATCGAATTGACTTCAATTGTTATTGTCAATGAATTTTGTTACCGCAATTATTGAAGTATGAGGCACAAGAAATAAAACTCCCAAGCCAAATAATGAATATTGTACAAGATGTTTTGTAGCAGCGATACTTTGGTTTTTATTACATCATCAACTTGATTCTTCTCTTGGAAAGTAAAATAACAATAATAATGATAACATTTTGGATTTAAACAGCACTTAACAGAGATGCCACAAGGAAATTTAAAAAAATGCTGAACTGACATTCAAAAATTAAGAAATATGAGCGAAGTGAGCGTTGTGAACAGTAACAGAATTCAAAACCCTACTTTTAAAGCACTTTAAATGATTTTTTTGTTCAGATTTTCACGATATTTTAACGATGTATTTTCTAATGTTTATTTGCCCTCCTAAAATGTTGTCAAGTACGTGAAAATCATGGAGATTGGCATCTTTGTTTACAGACTAATTATAGTGCAACGAATAGACCAGTTCACGGTTAGCACATTTCCAAAATGACCTCGAATAACCACAGATCTTCAAAACATGAAGAGGTCCCACTTTGTACATTTTGAAATAATCATTCCTTCAGCGATAGAGGTGCTTCATAAATAGCCTTTGCTTCCCCTTTTTCAAAGAATACTTCCACCTGTGTATCATGGAGTGCACTGCTTGTGCATATATGACTGATTACATAACCTTCATGAGCACGTATCCAGTATTTTGTCTCCGTGTATTTCACAATTTGGTCTGCAATTACCTTTATCTGCTCATGCTCAGACTAGTCTGCAGGCACAAACCCTGGTCAGTCGTAAAAGTGAGTCTGCACTAAAAGACTACCATAGGCCATGTACTGTAGCTGCTCCTGACACATATTGACACAAGGCACAATGATTTTTTGATAAAGTATCAAATTAGGGTCTGTGCTTGCAGACTATGCTCAGACTGCAACTATGAACTGGCTTATTTCAAACATCCAATGACCCAACACTAACTACCTCAACCCTGATATAAGTCTAAACATATAACAACCGGAGTCCTTTTTCCTGTTTTTGTGGAAGCGAGAAAAGGTCAGATGACCCATTATTATAATATTTTGCTTTGTTTACCCAGAGTAGCTTCATCAGTATTAATACCATTCTCCCTGAGGCCGGCCCTGCCAGGGACCTTCTTATTCTTCCCATGTTTCTTCTGATAATAATTCTGAAGATCAGTGGTAGGGATATCACGAAAAGCTTAAAGATAAAGTTGAGTTCTGGTCATGTGATTGCATTGTGAAAGAAATGGTGTGGAATCTATCAGAAAAGGTTGATCATCAAGTATATAAGTATTCGTGTGTATTGCAAGGTTCTGGAATCATCAAAATGATAAGAAATTTGGCCAAATCTTGGCAAAGTTACAAGCACTGTACACAGAATGATATGGGACTACACGAGCACATGGCGAAAAAAACCTGTTTAATCTGATGTTCTTCCACCCTTGCATAATAAGAATGATAACGCTCACAAATTATTTTTACCTCTTCCCAGAAATCAACCTTCTCTTTAAGTCTTACACGAGTTGAGTTGAGAAAGACGTTATTGTTATAAAATTATAAAGCATTCAAGCATTAAAGGAATTTCTCCAGACTGGGTACACAATAGACCAGTTTACAAACAAATATTTTTTTTTCATGTCAAAGGTTATTCTTCACAACCTGAAAATTTGCCCAAGTCTTGCCTGACATAGCAACAAGTAATGTATGCAGACTGGATTCCAAATATTGTAGTTCATTCCTTAATAACAAGTTAGTGAAATAACTCGCAGCTAGGTCGACAGGAAAGAAACATCCATAAATTGAATATGTTAGTACACCAGTTTTATTAGGCAGTCACTTCACCTGGGTGGAGAGAGGCAAATGTAGATAAATATCTTGCCAAAGGACATTAGTGCCTCAGCAGGACTCGAACCACAAAACATGTGATTCTGTCCACTACACTTCCCGTTCATCAGGTTCAAGCTTGCGCATCTTCCCAGAAGCTTACTTTGCTCTTTGTTGGTTCGTATTTAGCTGAACACTAAGAAATCATGTATACGCTTGTAACTTTAACTAAACCATCCTGGTACAATTTGCTTTAAGTCCTCTCCGAGGGCCTTGGTAACGAGGATTAATACCTGAACAAAGGGCACTAGCGAATCGACTGGGTTCCGAACACTGCTCTACCACTGAGCCGTCGCAACTCTTCATGCGTATACTTAAGGATACACAATGAATATTTAGAATCCTACCTTATACCCACTTAGCATCTGCATAGGGAGAAGCAACCATACTGACCACAAAAATATATATAAACAGTTAAATGTAAAGACCAGTTTTGGAAATGCCCCCCTCCCAAAAAATGAAATGGAAGCTCTTATTACTAATCATGTGAAAGAATATGTTTTGACTAATATGTGATGATACATATTTTGCCGGGGAACCGCCTATATTTGGTGAATTATTATATCTATCCGGACCGGATAGATATCACGCACGTGTCACATAGTCCCATATACATCTTTCTGTGTACAGTGCTTGTAACTTTACCAAGACTAGGCCAAATTTCTTATCATTTTGATGATTCCAGAACCTTGCAGTACACACCAATACCTATATGCTAGATGATCAACCTTTTCTGATCAATTCCACAATGTTTCTTTCACAATGCAATCGCATGACCAGAACTGGTCTTCACCTTTAACAACTAAATTATTTATACCCCTTTTAAATTTGATATTTTGTGTTGGTATTTTAACTAAAGAATGAAAGGTGGACTGGATGAATTTGGGCATTTGTTAAAAACTTTTAGATGTAAGCTGTCACATTCTCAAGAAATATAAATTGGGACAATCGATTTTACACATACCGAAGTTAACGTTGTATAAACCGCCCTCGTGTATTAACCGCACCCCTCTTTTTCGCCCTAAAAAAAAAAAAAAAAAAATTGCTGACTTTTTTTTTGCCGACTTAAACAGTAGAGGACCTAGGATAGAACCGTGTGGTACGCCGTGTAATAGAAGAAAAATTGGAGGAATTATTTTTATCAACTACATATTGAAATCTATCAGAAAGATTACTTTCAAACCAAGATGACAGACAAATTTGAGTGTTGTTCTAGTTTCGGAGTGGTGAGTCAACACACGATTACTGAGCTGGGAGACATTGCCAGGCATAGCGCCAGGTGGAGGGGCATAAACCGCACCCAACGACTTTGAAGTTTTTTCGGCGGCAAAAAGGTGCGGTTAATACAACGTTAATTACGGTACTTGAAAAATTACAAAATTTAGTAAGGGTATGAATGACCGAGTTATTAACAATATATATATATATATATATATATAGATATATATATATATATATAAATATATATTAAAATCATGATGATTGTAAAAGATAACACATTTTGCTGGTGCTTGCCCTTTGTTTCTTTGTACTATACAAGGATGCAGCCAGTTCAAAACAAACACAAACAATTACTTCACTCAATTTTGATTTCTTATGCCAATTAACCTTGTTGTACTAACATAAAAGAGAGCAGTGTTTTCCAGAATTACATTTAAAGGTACTATGTCCCTTTTGCAGCCAACCTCAAATTCTGTAGAACTTTGCAGGAATTATGAATATGTCATGTATGTTCTATCTGTGAAATTAAACATTAGCAGTGTCCTAATATTCAAATGTAAGGAAACCCGTTTACTTGCTGGACTTCACTGTCAGACACTATTGAGTGACTGACTGGATTTTTTTCTTCTTTGGTAATAACATACATAAAATGAGCCGTAAAGGGTACATGAGCATTTGTCTAGATCAATAACCCACTTCTTGTGATGGCCAAAATTAAACTGATTGAATCTTTGCGTAGCATAAAACGTATGACCATTCGGTACAATGGTCTGAAAATCAAGACTATTACTTATTGGCTCTATAGCTCCTAAGTCAATTTGACAACTAATAGTCATTATTTTCCCACTTGAAGACATTTTCAATCCCAACCTTTTTTGAGGGAAGTTCTAAATTAGTATTACCTTTCAAATGCCATTGGAATTTAACCTTTTCATTTTTTTGACCTGCAAATGGGACATAGTTCCTTTAAGAAGTGAGCAAATGTAAGACCACTCAAACTCCTTCAAAATGATGTTGCATGGACAAAATAAAGAATAACTCTTCAACAACACAATGACCTCTTCTTCAAAGACTATCTTACAGAAATGAAATCCAAAATGGCGTATCCTCTTCTGACTGATCGCAGTGATAAATGGCAGTTTAGGAGCACAGAAAGCATAGTTGTGCGATATAAGCTGTAACAACAATATCCTATATTTATTGAATTTCTCAATTCAGCCCTACACCACATTCGATACCTAAACTTAACACTTTGCCTGCTTTCTTCGTCTCTCTGCACAGGCTCCTGTTGGCCACACTTGCAATTTTGAACCAATTGCCAGAAGGACTGCTTTGCGGAACACAATGTCTTTGCAAAATTACCCATTAGCTCCATGATAAAACAATTAACACCGGTATATATTAACACTGATTTAAATGTTTTTGATGTAAAAAAAAAAAAAATCATATTTGGTTTGCAGGGTTTTTCCATATACCGGTAAGTGCATTAAGAAAACAAAACTTCCTAAAAAGAAATAGTCCAATATCTATTGTGCCACTTTTGTTTTCCACTTCATGATTTTTCCTGCATATCAGGTCAACACAACAATGTATGCAAGCACTTATCTATTTAACTTGCAAATGGGAAACATTAAAATCGAATGGCAAGCACTTAATGAAATAAAAAAATTGAAATTGAATATTAAAAAAAGAAAAGCTACCAAAAAAGGTTCAGAATCCTCTTAATTTGAGGTTATAAATAAGATAACTTACAAAATATGGAGAATTATATTTTGGCTTGCAGAAATAACCATCAAAGTTTTGACAATTTGAACTGTGCTAGCTTGAATAATCACAGAAATTACTACCCTTAAGTAATACATGAATAAAAAATGTAGAATAATGTAACAATTTCTCTCTAGAAATAATTGTTTTTAAACATGTCTCAAGAGTATGTTTACCGTAATGCAAAAAGGTGATAAAGTTCAAATAAATATCCTTTTTGAGGGACTAATATGATATTCATGAAAACAAAAGGATTCTAAGTGTCTTGAGCTGTTTCGTTAAGAATATCATCATCGACTTCCATTGTTACTTGACCCTGCCCCCTTGCCCCCTCCCGTATCCTCCCTTCAGTTCCTCTCACCAAGTCAGGGATAGGAACCGATGCTAGTTCCTGGTCCTGATCTTGGTCTTGTAAGGATTCAGTCCTTACAAATTGCTCAGTGTTCTGATTCGAGGCCTGCACGTTTACATGACTGTTTCTCATTGGGCTATTAGGGTTTGTGTGGGTTCTAGGTCTGGAGCTGACATTCTGAGCTGACCTTTGACCTTCAATCACATGATGGGATAGTCTTGACCTTGGACTTTCTGAAGTGGCCGGACTACCTTCTTCAGTGTCTCCCAGGGAGCGACCCTCACTTGTACTGGGTTGCACAACATGACTTGCAGTCAAGTCTAAAGTTAGATTATGTCTAATGCTCTGATTAGAGCGCCCTCTAGAGTTCAAACTCTGACTGACGCCCGTCATGTTCCTCTGTTCCTCGGGGTCGCTACCGTCCGATTCCTGGCTCATGGATTCAATGAATCTGATCGGGCCCCTGCTAAGGGTGCGATGTCCATACGAAATGGTGGTCACCGAGGATGAGGATGACAGCGCAGAGCTGCTTGCGTCTCCGCCCGGTCCAACCGCGTGAAACGCCGACCGCTCCGTTCCTATAGACGAGGAACGGATTCCATTGTCTTGAGAAGTACTGTTGGGTTGCTGTGAGCTTTCCATCTCGTCTTGAGAGTCCAGGTGAAGCATCCGGCATGAATGACTGGATGCCGGGATATCCCTGTCTGCAGACAAACGCCTAGATGGGATTGTCCGCGGGGAGATGATTCTCGCGTCTGGATTGTTTGAGCTTGGAAAATAGGCAGAGTTTGTTTCGCACGGTTGATGGCAAGTGACATTGGTAGAGCTTAGCCTGCTAAAGGTAGCAGAACCTTCAGAGGTTCTGGACGCATTGTCTAATTCTGAATGGTTGTCTTCCGTGAACGTCCTTCGCGAATTTCTCTCGTTGCCACTAGATCCGACCTGTCCTCTAGTGTACTGGTTGTCATGATTAGTGATTTCCGTGCTGGCATCACAGCATTCTCCTCGTACACTTCCTCTAACATTCGCTGTACTTCCGCTACTCTCATCTCTTTCTTCCGTTGCGCCATCATGCGATGCCCGACGATGATGCGATCCGGACGGACGTTGCATCTCCTCCTCCCTGCTCTCATCTTCCGCTCGTTGGGCGCTTTCTTCGCTGTTCTCTCCCGCTCGCTCCTCCACAAAAGTGCCACTGCGCAGGGCCTCGAACACATCACTCCTCCTTTCTGCTATCCTCTCCCGTCCTGCCACGTGGCCCTCATTCCCAAAGTCTGTCTGCGTGGCCATGTTCTGGAACACGTTGTTCCCAGTCTGTGTGGACTGGGACACCGATGCCTGGCGAGAGGCCTCGCCCGACGGACTGCCCGTCTGAGAGTTGGAGAGTCGTACGGCCATCATGCCGAGCTCTCTGTAGCTACGCCGTCGCTCCACCATGTCCAGCTGATTAGCAGAGGCCTCCGAAGGTTCAGACGTCGACGTGCTCTCGCTTACCACAGGTTCGTCTTCATTGTCAATCCTGTGATCCAAAAGAATGAAATTCAACAATATCAGGGGGGTGTTTCACAAAGATCCTAAGTTGAACTTATCTCTAAGTTGGACTTAACAACTATGGAAAGCCATTAGCATCTTTGAAAATATTTTGTTAAAATATATTTTAAAAGGCGTAAAATGTTGATTCAAAACATTCATATTTTCTATTGCCAAGGATATTTTGTGTTCTTGATGTGGAATTTATGAAACGTCTAAAATACTTGAATTTTTGCTTTTGAATATATTTTATTTTAATGCTACAAATGGCTTTCCATAATGTTTAAGTCAAGCTTAGAGTTAAGTTCGACTTATGATCTTTGTGAAACACCCTCCAGATTCAATAACTTCGGAAATCATTTTATCTTCACTTCACTGAAATGGTCTTCATTGTCATGTTAAATTTGAAATAGCAACTTGTTATTGGTGTATGCGCAGATCTCTTTCCCATGCACTCAATCAGCTATGCCCAGTTATTAGCCATTGACATGCCATTATATATTACTCCAATCGAGATCACAATTTTGTATCCCTTAAAAATTGTGTCCCATTTTATTGAGTGAACCTGTACAGGCAGACCACCTCAGATTGCATTTGATTGTACATTTAGCATTGAAGTCACTACCTTACCACCATTTTCTCTCATCTGAACAATGTTACTAAGTCCCTTTAAAGGTACTATGTCCCTTTTGCAGCCAACCTCAAATGCTGTAGAACTTTGCAGGAATTATGAATATGTCATGTATGTCCTATCTGTGAAATTTAAACGTTAACAGTGTCCCCATATTCAAATTATGCAAGAAAACCTGTTTACTTGCTAGACTTCACTGTCAGACACTATTGAGTGACTGACTGGCTTTTTTTTCTTTGGTAATAACATACATGAAAAGAGTTGTCAAGCATACATGAGCATTTGTCTACATCAATAACCCACTTCTTGTGATGGCCAAGATTAAACTGATTGAATCTTTGCGCAGCATAAAACGTATGACCATTCGGTACAATTATCTGAAAATCAAGACTATTACTTTAGGGCTCTATAGCCCTAAAGTCGATTTGACAACTAATAGTCATTATTTTCCCACTTGAAGACATTTTCAAGCCCCACCTTTTTTTAGGAAAGTTCTAAATTAGTATTATCTTTCAAATGCCGTTGGAATTTAACTTTTTCATTTTTTTGGCCTGCAAATGGGACATAGTACCTTTAACACTTCAATAATTTTCTTTGCCTCTCTGCAATTTTGCACAGATCAAGAGGCACCAGTTGACGGAAGGATTGCTTTGCAAAATTACCTGTTTTCCGCTTTTGATTACCGGTAGTTCCACGACAACCGATTTAACACTGATATATATCAATCTTGCACTGGAAATGATAAAACAATCTAAAAGTCTTTGATATGTCTATCCCATGATGAATATAATGCATACCTGCCAACATTTCAAAATAAGAATTAGGAATTTTTAGCATGGTATGCCTTCAAAAATAAGAAATCGCACTTGCAGCGGCAGTGTAACTGGCAATACGCGGTAAATCTGTACCAAAAAGCGAATACAGACTCACTGCTCAATCATGCAGCCATTCATGGTACGCAATACGTAAACTCTCAAATTTTGGTACGTGATAAAACAAGCTTAATTTGGCTTAAGCACACTAAAAAATAAAAAATAAATGAAATTTTGAAAAATCAGAATATTCCAAATTATTTGGAAGGGTTTCCAGCCAGCAGGCATGACAATGTGCAACAGGGAGATTATTACAAAAAAATAATTAGGAAACCGATTTAAATCGGGTAATTATCAGGCCTGTTTGAGTGACATATAAAGGGTTAACTCACTTGGGAGTGCAGAAGCATAGATCACCCCTGTTGGTACCGTAGACCAGCCCCGCCCCGGGCCTTGGGATCCACCGGGCAATGTTCACACTGACTACCAACCGCTGCTGGGGGTCTAAGGGGTGGATGATTCGATTGACGAACGTCATCGAGTCCTCGCCGGCTTCTGGCTTCTGCAGCTGGTAGACATCAGCCATTAACTGTATTTAAACGTAGGTATGAGAAGAAAAAAATTGATAAATTGCAATAATCATTTGAATTCAAGATATATTTTATTTTGTTTGTTTGTTTGTACGTATTTTTTTTGTCTTGATTTATGTATTGTATAATGTTTATTAACGAATATATTTCATATTTTTTATCATAAAAAAAAATGTTCAACCTTTATATAAGGATTGTTTCCTTTCAGGTTGCAACCTATTCAGTTTATTTTATGTCCTAGTCAAATATGTTCTTAATGTGTATTTTAAATTATATAGCTGATTGTTATACGAAATGTTGTCTTTTTAACTAAATGAAATCTAATTGAATTGAATTGAACTGAGAACAGGACAAGTATTTGAAAAGATGATTAGAGATGAAACATAATGGCTCAATGGAAAAGCAGTGGTCTTTTAAACCGGGGGGTCCTGGTTCAATGCACTAGTTCCCTTGGCTACGGCATTAATCCTCATATTACCAAGTCCCTTGGAGAGGATTTAAAGCCGTCAGGCCCCTGGTTGCTTAACTACAAGCATACAAATGCTTTTTAGCAATCGGGAAAACAAATCATTAAACCAAACCTATTCTTGGGTCCTCAAAGGGAACATGACGAAATTGAGTACGAGTATGACGCAGCCACAGTCAAACTCAAATCTGACTTGGATTCTGCGCAGGCCCTACATTGTACATGTATTTTATGCAAGTTCATAAAATTGAGTAGTCTACTCAGAAGTCGTCTCATGTTAATTAAAGAGAAGGTTGAGTTCTGGGAAGAGGTGAAAAATAATTTGTGAGCATTACTCATTCTTATAATGCAAGTGTGGAAGAACATTAGTTAAGACATGTTCCCTGAAAAGCATGGCTCTTCAAATGCCTTCATATTCTAAGTATGCATGTAACATCGTAAAAATCGGGGGCCGGCTTTTTACGCCACGTGTTCGTGTAGTCCCATATACATCTTTCTGTGCAAGTGTTTGTAACTTTACCAAGACTTGGCCAAATTTCGTATCATTTCGATGATTCCAGAACCTTGCAATACACACAAATTCTTATATGCTAGATGATCAACCTTTTCTGGTCGGTTCCACACCGTTTCTTTCACAATCGCATGACCAGAACTCAACTTCATCTTTAAGAGTGTATTCAAACTAGAAGCTCATACTTATATTTTGTTTGGATTCAAACCTTTGGCACAGCCTCGACAGATTCAAATTTATTTGAACTTTTACAGTGACCCAAATCCCATTTGATATCTTTTCCTTTGTATTTATTGATCAATGACCTTCTCATGTTCGTTGAATTTGTATACCTGTAATATTTTGTATGTACACATGTGTGTTTTATTGAATGGAATGAATAAATCATAAAATATAGTATTACAACATGAAACCCCTGACACACAGAAACATATATTGTTCGGTGATGAATAATCTATAATGTGCATGTAATGTAACATTTTATCGATGACACGTTTTATGAAACAAGGTCCTGGGGAGGAAGTAGCGTTATACATCTCTTTTTATGGTATACGACCTTTGACCTTACTTACCCCATGAAACATCTGCCATTGTAGTCTCCTTGCAGCCAGACCCACTAAGATGTAGTTGCCGGAGGGAGACAGACTCACAGTGATGGCATTCGGTCCTGCAATCATATATATTACAGGGTTATTATTATCATTATTGTTCTTTAGTATGTTTAGTATATTTTTTATGCAATGGTTGTGATACCTCTGAGGACAAGATTATTTTTTAAAGATTTAACATGACTTATCAAACCTATGACCAAGAATTTAAGTATCCATTGCAATTTTTTCAAATGTTAAATGCGTTTATATTTTTTTGTTAAATCATGCCTTTATTTCATATAAAAGGAATACATGGTTACATTCAATACCAGGTCCATGTTCCCTTTCCGAAACCATGGCAGGTCGCACTACATATAAAACATATACAAACAATAATGCATTACAGTTATAAATATATATCAATCATGCATAATAACAATTACATATTAATCATGTATAGTTACAATTATACATTAATCATTGATCAATATACATTACATTCATATATCAATCATGTATAGTAACAATCATTGATCGTGCCTGCATTAATCATGCATAGGTTGACAACAATTTTTTTTTTTTTTAAACTGGAATCGTGAATAAAAGGCACTAGAAATACTAGTCAAACACATGATGTTGAAATACGACAGGGACAGAAGTAGGTTAGAGATAGCATTTCAGGTTCAAACATGCAACAGTTGAGGGCACGTCTTGGAGCAGACGTTGTACATGTTGTAACCTTGGTCTTTAATGGCCTAATTCGACAACGTAAGACTATGATGGACATGAACAAATCTTAGTAGTTTGATTGACCTCACTATTCCCCTCTCTACTCCAGCGCTTGTAAATTTTTTAACCATTAGGCCTTTTTTAGAGAAAAAAAATATTTAAGCATTCTAAAATGAGAAATATCAGCCCAAAGAGGGAGAAAAATGAAGAAAAAAAGTTTTGAAAAAAGAAAAGATATCCGACTGACCGACCCATGTTTTGGCACCTAAAGGGCAATACAACATTTTTTTTTTTAGGCCTTATCCATACAATTTGAAATCTGTAATTCATGCAGTTCATACAAAGTCATTTGTATAATCACAAATTTATGTAGTCCCATGCATTCCATTGTTTTGAACAATGATTTTTTTTTACCATTTTTTTAACATGCCAAAATCTCTAATTCATGCATTGCATACAGATTTATCCAACTAATCACAGTTAGGGGTTTCAAAGAATGTTTTACACAAGAATATAGTGTATAGTCCCACATAGTGCAATGCATGTATTTTAATCAAAGGATGACCTTACCGAAGCTCTTAGTAAAGAGCACTTCTCCCAGGTTATGTCTTTCTAGCGAGCACACAGCTAAGACACCGTGATCGGGAAACCCCATGTGGCTAGGGATGAACGCCGCAAGACGACGATCGCTCGAGATATCCACGCTGGCATCATTATGAATCTTGCACTCGGAGACAATCACGTTACTCTGGGCTGATAAACAGATTTTGGAAGGAAGGATGGGTACTTTTAATATTTGTAAAGAAAAATATAACTGTCAATGTAGTATTTAGAACGATACTTGTAGAGTATTTGTAATAAGCCAACTCCACATGACTATTGTGCTCATGGCGCAAAAGAAGTAGTAATAACATAGAAAAGTCACTAAAAAAATGAGACAAATTAAAAGCTACAAGTAAATCTACTGAAAAGCAATTTAGATAAGATGAGTTCTGAGGGCATTTTCAAAGAATGATTTACTCACCATCTGTAATATCTGGGAGAAAAAAATCTGACATGTCCCACCACTGGAGCCTGTGTGTTCTATTACTGATGTTGTTTGCAACGGCCATCTGACCTCGTCCTGCCAAAGCGTCTGGGTGAAGAAAAGGAGGATGTTGCGTCAAAAGAATAGCACACATCATTTAGTGTGATGATTAATATCCTCATCGTCATCATCATCACTACTATTATTACTAAAATTGTGATGATCAACACAGACACCGTTTTTATTACAATCAGCATGTCATCATCATCATTATCTATATTGTTACCTTCATTATCACAAACGCTACAACAACTACCACCATTATCACTATCATCATCACATCATCATCACCATCATCATCATCATCATCATTATCATCATCATCATCATGATCATCATGATCATGATCATCACCATCACCATCACCATCATGACCATCACCATCACCATCATCACCATCACCATCATCATCACCACCATCACCATCATCACCATCACCATCATCACCATCATAACCATCATCACCATCATCACCACCATCACCATCATCACCATCACCATCATCACCATCATAACCATCATCATCACCATTACCATCACCATCATCACCGTCATCACCATCACAAAAGGCACAACAGCAACCGCCAATAACCCTAGAATCACCAACACCATAATCAGTACAAAAAACATCCTCATCCGCATGATCATCACCATCACTATCAGCACCACATGAAAAGATTTCAACAAACCAATTACACACGACTTACTGGCAATAGCTCTGTTGATTGCGTAATGTACTGATGGAGATGGGGGCTGGGTGTTATCAAACAAACTGGTACTGTAATGACTGTGTAGAACACGCCTTCTGAAAAGCACAAACGTAAAATGAGGCAACTGTTATCAAATCATCCGAACTCGATCCAACCTGTTGAAGCCTAGAAAAGTCAAATTATATCCTTCATTTATTAATCAATAGTTGATTAATTACTTATATAACAGTATATATATATATATATCTATATGATACAAAATGTTATTCATTGATTACTAGTTGTTAGTTTTGTTGATGCCCATTGCCAATATACACTGTATCATTGTGAAATCAATGAACTAATTTTATCTATTTATCAATCGCTTGTTCAGGAGTACTGCACAGGATGAAGCATATTTTTTATTATATCCTGCATCAAAAATTTGTTGGCTTTTGATTGGTTGAGGATTGTCACATGACCAGAAATATTTGAACCTATTTTTAGAAAGTACTATATGAGAGTACTATTTTGGTTTACTATTTGGGAGTTGAAAAAAAAATGTGAAATTTTTTTTTTTGAATTGAATCAATTTTTTTTCTTCAAATCTTAATTTAATGAAAACAAAATATTTTAAATCTTTTGAGATAAAAATTGACATTTTTTTTCTTCTAAATTTGTTTTCCCCCCAATTTTTTTTTTTTTTTTTTTTTTTTTAAATAAATTTTTGATGCAGGATATAAACCAAATATACCGTGCCTTCTATTCGAGGTACTGGTTAAACTATGGGCCTCGGTGACTCCAAAAGTACCATTTGCTTCGGGGCTATGCCCCTCAGCAAATAGTACTATTGGAGTCACCTCTTGCGCATAGTTTAACCAGGACCTCTCAAGGCAGTGTATATTTGTATACTAGTCAAGCAATCTCTTGACAATTTTCCTTTCAACTCATGTCAGCTCCCTGCTAGCTGTGGGGTTGTATGACATATGCTCAGGCAATGATTGCTTCACGGTCAATTCCCATTGAGAATTGCATTTCTTAAAAATAATAATAGTAATATGCATGTATTACGTGTAATGAGGTAGGTCAAGCCATTATGTTTGTCCTACCTGACAACAACTAATGTATGCAGTTTGCATTCTGACTATTGAAATACAATTATTCATGAGAGATGAATGAAATAATCTGTATCTGGGCATTAGACATATATGCTTTAGATTTGATTACATTACGAATGTTGTCTATTGTTGAAGGAGCAAGTCTCATTCAACTGTGTTACGATTGATACATGAACATCGTTACTATTCAAGTTACCTGAGAGCTGTACGGTGGAAGCCAAACCTAGACGGTCTCCTTCTTCGCAGTCCCTCCCCAGACTGGCCATCCTCATCCCCCTGTCTGCTTAATGGTTGCTCCCCTATTACACCAGGGTTGTATCGCCTCCCTGGAATGTTCAACTGCCCCTGGAGGGAGCGCCGGCTGAGCTGAGGGACTGCCCTCCGCCGCCTTGATGATCCCTCCGGGCATGGTGGACCTTCCCCCTCCTCTCTCGATAATGGAAGATCCCCAGATGCACCCTGTCCGAATCTGCGACCAGGGATGCTCAGATTGCTTGGAAGGGAGCGCCGAGACAGTTGGGCTGAGAAAGGAATTTACAAGGAACAAAATAATTTTCATAACTTCGGGCAAAGTTTTGATGATTTCAATCATAGCCTGCATGCTCTAGCAGTCATAACAGGTTAAATGGATTAGGTAACTTTCTTTCGGATTCTAAAACAAAATTCTAGATTTAGCCCATGCTGCAATGAAAATTATAATCCTATAGGTCAGTCAGGAACCCCATGACTTTTACAAGCCGATCGTCCCTCTGATTATCAAGATATTTATGATTGGAAATCGAAATCAAATTTTGCGTTTTCCCAACGATTTTCATAACACTACAGTGTTCTTCGCTTTCTTGGGAAACACAAGTATGGTAAAACCTGTCAGTCAAAGATTTTTACTTTTTAGAGGCACTTCATGATCATTTTGAAGTGCAATTTTTTTAGGGCTTCAATATTACACCATATCACAGACACTGATAACACGTAGGGCCATGCATCTCAGATTTAACAATGTTAAACCATGCCTTTAAGACAATTGCAATCAGGCCATCAAACAAAAAATCCTCTTGGTTTTTTATATGTTGATGTAGGACTACATCAGCAACTGACAAAGTCTTTGATCTGACACATGAGAGTGGTATCATACAAAAATCTAAAACAAAATTACCAGTGCAAACACAGCAGCTCAGAATTACTGGCTCATATCTTTGTAGGCTACTTTAGTACAAGCAGGTAGCTTTGAATTTACCCCTTTAGATTTGCATTAAGCAGGTTTCCACTGCTGTTATTACTTATGAATATGCATATAGATAGGAATTCTAAAACGTTAAACGTAGCATGTGGTTTCTGATGTGCACTGTACACAAGGCATCATTCCCTGCACGAGTGTAGCCTATGAAGGTGGTGTGAGCCAGCAGTTCTGTGCTCCTGTGTATGCATCATTCTATTAGGGGTTTTCATATAATAATAATATTGGATATATAGCGCACATATCCACCATGCATTGTGCTCAAGGCGCTCCAACTATTACCCCAGCTCTGCTAGGCAGCTGATTTAGGCGCTCACAACATTCAAGGAATTCCTTCCTACCGGTACCCATTGAACACCGCGGTGGAGAGTGGCAAATGTAAATTAATATCTTGCCAAAGGACATTAGTGCCGTGGCGGGACTCGAACTACGGACCCTGTGATCCATATTCCAACGACTTATCCACTAGACCATAACCCTAAAATGTCAAGACTTTGATATCAATAAATTATTCGAATTAGAATTTGCACCTTGATATCTCGCCACACTCCTACCCCTCACAGACAAGGCATGACTAAGAGCAGTAGGGAAATGTGACCCGCTGGAGTCGGCACTCTGCTGTGTGCGTGGTCTACGGGAAGGTATCCTCCCCACGTAAGCGCTCTCAGCCCTCGGCTGGAACAACGGAGCAGCTCGCGTATCCGTCACCACGGCAACCTGAACATTCTCTCCTTCCACCTCGACCATGACCGGTTCTGCTGGACCCGGCTCATCCGTCTGCGAGGAAGGGGTGTCCGAAGAACCGTCGGAGGGAATGATGATCTCCTGGGGGTGTTCGTTGGTGGGGCTGTGGGAGTCTGCTTCCACGGGGGCAGGGCGTGGCAGAGCGAACTCATTGGTGAGGTTCTGGGAGAGTTGAGAGAGGCTGTTGGTAGGAGGGTTGGATGCAAAATTGGCAAGGTTCGACAACGACTCGACGGAATGCCTCATCCTGCGCTCCCTGGATGAACCCGGGAGTCGCCTCATGCTTGACCCAGCGCTATCGTGCGTTGGGAGGCTGGTGCGGGTTATATACCCAAGCGGTTGCGCAAAGCTGCTCGGGTAGTTGGGGGGATCGATGGGGACGCCTGGAACAAATCCCCTCTGGTGGCGGGTTCGTAGAGCATTTAACGTCACAGAAGCAGCGTACTCCCTCGCTTGTTCTAATGTGTCCATGGACTCCGGTGATATGGGGCGATTTAACGAAGAATCTCTGGAAAAGAAAGTTTAGAATCACATGAAGATTAAACATCAATAATAATAATAATTACTACATACTAGAGGATGTTCAGGAAGAATACAAAGTAATAGCATTATCCTTGATGTAGCCTAGCTGCCCTAAGGCGCTAAAAGCATGCAAGGAATAAATAGTCCTATCAGGTACCCATTTACTAAACCTGGGTGGAGAGTGGCAAATGTAGATTAATGTCTTGCCAAAGCAAAACTCGAACTGAGAACCATTTGACCTGTAGTCCGGTGAAATATCCGCTAGACTACTACACTTGTATTAATGCTAATCAAAACTAATCTTTAGATCTTTAGATTTATGAATAATAAAATTGATATTGAAGGAAAAAAATTCCAATCATTTTGAAAGTTAATGATGTACTCCATTTAAATATTGCACTCATCTCCAACTCATGCCACTCAGTTCACAGCTCATGCGATATATCTAAGTAGTCCTTTAGGTCTTTAGTCTATTCAAATTTAAACCCAATGCTGGATCTAAACTAAATTTAAATCACTTTAAAAAAAAGAATGTAAGGCCAAGGCAGTAGTTTTTCCTTCGCTTAAATGTGACTTTAAATAGTCATTTTGTGTTCACTGCACCAGGTTTAACAGAGATATTGGAATCTGTTTATATTTCATTAACTCTATTTTCATATTTCTCATGTTACACATACATTTCAAAATAAAGTACATGTTGTTTTTTGTGTGATAAAATCACAATCAATAATACACGATAAATAACATAAAGATAAGTGGTCAATATAGAGTACTGATTTAAAGGTACTATGTCCCTTTTGCAGCCAACCTCAAATGCTGCAGAACTTTGCAGGAATTATGAATATGTCATGTATGTCCTATCTGTGACATTTAAACGTTAGCAGTGTCCTCATATTCAAATTATGCAAGGAAAACCATTTACTTGCTAGACTTCACTGTCAGACACTGTTGAGTGACTGACTGGTTTTTTTTCTTCTTTGGTAATAACATACATGAAAAGAGTTGTAAAGGGTATATGAGCATTTGTCTACATCAATAGCCCACTTCTTGTGATGGCCAAGATTAAACTGATTGAATCTTTGTGCAGCATAAAACGTATGACCATTCGGTACAATTGTCTGAAAATCAAGACTATTAATTTTGGGCTCTATTGCCCTAAAGTCGATTTGACAACTAATAGTCATTATTTTCCCACTTGAAGACATTTTTAAGCCCCACCTTTTTTAGGGAAGTTCTTAATTAGGATTATCTTTCAAATGCAGTTGGAATTTAACTTTTTCATTTTTTTGGCCTGCAAATGGGACATAGTCCCTTTAACTGAGAGAAATATGATGGGACCTACATGAAAGCAAGCTTGTAAAGCTGTAGGCCCCAGTGAAATAATTTGTGGTAATGAATGGAGGATGGATATAAATAGTGAACAATCCAAATTAATAAAAAAATAAAAAAGGAAATAAAAAAGAAACATGCGATGGTGCTGTAAACATTGTCCCTCCCTTTCTTCTATCTCACCCTTGTTGTCCTTGTAGTATATCCGGGGGTATAGATGGCTCTGGTATGGAAGGAGCAGGGTATGTGTCCGGTTCAAGGGGCTCGGGATCACTTTCTTCTGAGCCTTGGTTGGAATCTTGTGTGCTTGCAAAAAAAAAGGGGGAAAAAAAGAGTAAATTTCATTTTAAAGCCAGTTTTCAGAATATGGCAGTGAAGCTAAATTTCTGAGAAACTACATAGTTAAAGGGGGTGAAGCATGGCAAATACTGGTTAACGCCATCTACGACTTCTTTTGGGCAACTGCACGTAAACGAATGGACTTGATATAACGATCATCGTGCACAAGCGTCCGCGAAACGGATCAAAGTTCTCGTCACACTTCAGTTTTGCATATGTAGCACGCACCTGAATACAGCGGTGGCGTCGTCCGTAGTCGTATCATATACATACATGAAGTCTCGTCGTGCTACGTCCCCTTTAACATGTTATACTAAGTTGTTGAAGTTTTGTAGAGCAGGGTACATCTATATAGTATCCGCGTTTATAAATTGATCTTATTACCAATACTATCAATATCGTAAAGATTAGAACCTCCAGGGATATTATTTTGTCTATTTCTATTAATAATGCTCTTTCTAAATTTCAATTTTTTGTTGTTACTCCATGGCCGAGATCCCAGAATCTATTCACTATGAACATGACAGACAATGAAAGCGGACAAAATATACAGTTCCTCAGGTAGACAATAGTCACAAAGGAACATCCCTTCACTGCTATTATGTAAAAATGTGTAGAACAGGTGAATATGCATGTGACACCTGTTCTACACATTTTTACATAATAGCAGTGAAGGGATGTCTCTTTGTCTACCTGAGGAACTGTATATTTTGTCCGCGTTCATTGTCTGTCATGTTCATAGTGATTATCTCCTACTTTTCAGAATTTCAACTCTTTCCACATATTTTTTAATAATAATAATAATAATAATCTGTTTTTTATATAGCGCTCAATACACCGATCCAACGATGTGCCTAAGTGCTTTACAGACATATTATTACCCTCGTCATTGGATTCAGGCTTACCCACACACAATGTGTGCATATTTTCCACTCCCTGGGGAGCATTCCAGCCAGTCGCCATTTTGCAAGCGCACACTTGCTCGTCCAACCACATGAACGTTTGAATCCTACCGGGTACCCATTTAACACCTGGGTGGAGAGTAGCAAGTGCTGGTAAATATCTTACCAAAGGATATTAGTGCCGTGTCGACCACTCGACCACTCGACCCTGATTCATAACCCCAAATTTATACCAAGGTTTCAAAAAAAGATCACTTACTTCTCATCACTATTGCTGGCATCTTGTTCGGGCAGCAAATTAGCAATACCCGTCAACAGGAAGTGGCCAAGAGAATCAAACTTCACCAATCTGCAAAATGAAAGAAAACATGAAAATTTAGGATGGGCAATTAAGCATATATTTTTTTCACAACACATACAACATTTATAAAACTGCAACAGGCTTTAACCCTTTCAGGGCCCGTTGCATAAAACTTACCATTGATGGTAACTTTGCCATCAACGGCAACTACCATGGTAACAGGGCTCAACAGCCAATCAATATCAAGGTTACCATGGTAGTTACTATTGATGGCAAGGTTACCATGGTATTTATCATTAATGGCAAACTTACCGTCGATAGTAAGTTTTGTGCAACGGCCCAGGACATGATTTTTAAAAGGGCTAAATTGATCACATGTTGTTCTTCAAATTGGCAACAAATATATTTTTATTTTATTACATCACTGCTGTTGTAAAATGCAATGTCTTAGAAAACAAATACATTTAAACCTCTCAATGTGTTGCCAGTTTAGGGATCTCAAATTGCTGCCAGTTTAGGGATTTTAAAGCTTTTATTCCTTTTCAATATTCCTATAAAATTATAATTAGTGTTCAAGGTTCAAGAAATTGCATAGATACTGACCTGACAGTTACTTCTCAAAGTGTTGCCAATTCAAGGATTTTAAAGCTTAGTTTCCTATTTTGAAATTCCTATATTATCATAATTAGTTTTCCAGGTTCAAGGAATTGCATAGATACTGACCTGACAGTTACTTCTCAAAGTGTTGCCAATTCAAGGATTTTAAAGCTTAGTTTCCTATTTTGAAATTCCTATATTATCATAATTAGTTTTCCAGGTTCAAGGAATTGCATAGATACTGACCTGACAGTTACTTCTCAAAGTGTTGCCAATTCAAGGATTTTAAAGCTTATTTTCCTATTTTGAAATTCCTATATTATCATAATTAGTTTTCCAGGTTCAAGGAATTGCATAGATACTGACCTGACAGTTACTTCTCAAAGTGTTGCCAATTTAAGAATTTTAAAGCTTATTTTCCTATTTTGAAATTCCTATATTATCATAATTAGTTTTCCAGGTTCAAGGAATTGCATAGATACTGACCTGACAGTTACTTCTCAAAGTGTTGCCAATTTAAGAATTTTAAAGCTTATTTTCCTATTTTGAAATTCCTATATTATCATAATTAGTTTTCCAGGTTCAAGGAATTGCATAGATACTGACCTGACAGTTACTTCTCAAAGTGTTGCCAATTGAAGGATTTTAAAGCTTAGTTTCCTATTTTGAAATTCCTATAAAATTATAATTAGTGTTCAAGGTTCAAGGAATTGCGTAGATACTGACCTGACAGTTTCAAAAGTATTATTCGTCTGCACGCTGGTGAACGGAGATGGCTCGTTCCAATCCCATAGAAAGATCTGGTTGCCCGTGGCGATTGCGAGGAGCCTGTCCCGGGGATGAAAGGAGAGAGACGTGATGGTCGTCCGGCTTGGGGAACACCATTTTTCACTACTTCCCTGCAATGGTGAAATAGAAACGAGCATGTTCTTGGGGGGTGTTTCACAAAGATTCTAAGTCAAACTTATCTCTAAGTTGGACTTAAAAGTTATGGAGAGCCATTGTACCATGTAGTCTTAAAATAAAATATATCCAAAAGCAAAAATTCAAGTTTTTTAGACTTTTCATAAATTCCACATCAAGAACATGAAATCTCCCATGATTATAGAAAATATGAATGATTTGAATCAACATTTTATGCCTTTAACAATAACTTTTACAAAATATTTTCAAAGATGCTAACGGCTTTCCATACTTGTTAAGTCCAACTTAGAGATAAGTTCAACTTAAGATCTTTTTTAAACACCCCCCTGGAGATGAAGCATATCCCATCACTTTACCAGATCACCAAAGAGCAGGAGGGTGAGGGAATGCATCCAATGATTCCAATCGTCTTTAAGCTTTAAGTCAGGCCTGTAAACCCTAAATGGCACCATACATATGCTGTGGATCATCATCATCATCATCTTCTTTGGGTATTTTCACATTATCATATATAACAAATATTGATGTTGGTTAATGCTATTTGATAGCTATTCTTCATAAAATCCAACAGCAAACTTGAAATCTGTCCTTTTGTTAGTGAGAAACACAACAACATTTACATTGAATCCGGGGCCATTAATTCCAAGTTCTCTAAGAAACAAATGCTATTTAATAAACCTACCAGACTTTTTTCAACTACTTTTTGTTTCTTTCCCCACTCCCAAGGGAGTAAGACAGGGACCAACTGGTCTCCATAGGCGATGGCTGAATGCAGGTTTTGATGGAATGTCTACACACTTAGACTTAAATGACGGTTTTGAAAAAGTGGCCTTTGGAGAGAATTACGTGAAGGTCCCAGACAGTGACACGCACTTCGCCTCCCAGACAGTTCTTGGCCATCTCAAAGAAACAAATGCTATTTAAGACACCTGTTCATTACTTCTTCTTTTTTTTTTTTCACTCCAGAGGCAATGGCTGAATAAACGTTTTGATGAAATGTCTACACACTTTGACTTATATGAGGTTTAGAAAAACTTGAATGAATTACCTGAAGGTCCCAGACGCGCACCTCGCCTCCGAGACACCCTGAGGCCAGGACCTCCTTGGAGGAGGGGTGAAACATGATGGTCCAAGGAGTTCGAGGGTGACCTGCCAGGGTCAGAATACACTTCCTGGTCTTGACCCTCCAGATGTAGATGTGATGATTGCCATGGGTCGAGGCCATGAGGGTGCTGTCATAGCTGAAGCTCACCAGGAAGGTGGAGCGGACATCGCTCGGAAGCCGCAAAGGCTGCACGAGAACGTGGACAAAAACAGGGATAGCAGTTGGCATACCGGGTAGCTTAATTCCAAAAGGAGCCAAGTCCACTTTTGATGAAGTCACTGATGTTTTTTTTGTTTTTTTTTATTTCCACTTTTTCATATCAATACAAAGAAACATACAAATAAATACATGTATAATAAATAATATGTAAGTTTGACAAAATTTGTTACTAGTCAAAATAAAAGTTTCATACAAAAGGAAAAAGCAGGAGAATACATGTCGTAAGCGTAAATGCATGAAGATGTCAGAACATTGATCACTTTAATAAGAACCTGTCTTTCAACAAAATTATTTACCTAAATTTCGGAAGCAATTATGAAAAAATGCACCTTCTAATATCACTTTTTCATCACTTTTTTGTACAAAATCTGGTAAACAACGTCTTTTTTTCTCTAAAGTTACAAAAATGGTTTTAACTCCTTTTGGAATGATACTCTTCATATCAAGGAAGGCACTGCTCAACTCTAGTATACCCCAACAGTAGGGTTCTGGTACATGAACATTCAAGGCCTGGGGTTAAGGTTAGGTTTAGGTTCAGCGATTTGTTTAGTTCACTAAAGGCGCACGCACAGAGTTCGCTGAATTTAGCAAACTCCCTGTGCGCACCTTTTTTCATACTTTTTTCGTGAAATAAGTATCACATTGGCAATGCTAAAACTGTGTTTATATCCCGACTATTTGCATTTCCGGTAGAACCAACGTTCGGGAACTCCAGGCACATGAACATTCAAGGCCTGGGGTTAAGGTTAGGTTTAGGTTCAGCGATTTGTTTAGTTCACTAAAGGCGCACGCACAGAGTTCGCTGAATTTAGCAAACTCCCTGTGCGGGCCTTTTTTCATACTATTTTCGTAAAATAAGTATCACATTGGCAATGCTAAAACTGTGTTTATATCCTGACTATTTGCATTTCCGGCAGAACCAACGTTCGGGAACTCTTGTTACATGTAGAGGTCAACGTTTTGTATATAACGAATCACATGTTAGGCACACAGCTCACAGGAAAGGTAAGCAAATCGCTATCCCTCTGCCCTCCGGTACCATATTTCTACATTTCTGGTTAACGCTTTTCAAACTGCTTTGTACGAGAAGAAAAAAAGAGTCCACTAGCAAACTCCAAAGCTAGTGTGCAGGGTTTTTCTAGAGCGGGAATGGGTGATTACGAATGCATGTTACTGTTTTAGGTTTTCGTTTACATCACTCTTCACGCAGGGGTATGGGTGCCAATTATTAAGGCTAGGTGATATCAATATCATATTTTATTTCATCATCTAGCCCTTAACTTAGGGCTGAGCTGACTGATATCTCCATCACTTCAGAAACCAGCAAACTGTTCCCAGGGGTTCTTAATAATAATACCTTTAGGCCTAGTCCTTAGCTGCAAGAGCCTGCAAGTCTTTTCCATCAATGTCTTAACTCTAAACTAATTCAATAATTGACATACATGTAGGTCTATGTCTAGAATATACAAAATGTTTCATCATTTTCATGTTTAACAGGTTCAAATTTTTGCATTGGCAATGATTAATGAAACAGAAATAGACCCTACCAATCTAGTCTAGTCTATTTGCATAATTTAATGCTTGCTTCGGCCACCATTTTACTGTTACTTGTTAGACCAAATATTAAATTTGCTCGTACCTTTGTGACTTGACAAAATAGGACAATAACCATGACATAGCTGCATAGGCTACATGTAAGTTATTAAATAATTTTATTAACATAAAACAAGTCCAACTCCAAACAAAGTGTCAGTGTGTGTCAGACTCAGAGATGATCGTGATCTTCTTCTTGACTTAAGTTCTTGCCTTATTCATTAATCATTATTGTGCGTTTCATTCATTTGAATACTTTATTATTACTATTATATCGATATCAAATTTTCTGACATGCAAAGCATGGAACAACAGCTGCTAGCCAAACTGGATGACAACACACTCGAAACAAATGGAAGAAAAAAAGGAATGTCAACTGAAAATAAATGGGCACTACACAAAAATAAGCACTCGGGACCGAAGACAATAAAATGCTCTGTACTTACTACGATTTGGGATGAATACTTGGCACCAATAAAATCTGCATGATTTTTCAGGATATCATTTCTTCCAGGCTTCCTTCTTATTCCAATACTTCTGTCTCGCACGCCTCTAAATACGTTTTTTGGAGGCTTCATTTTGCCCCTATCCCCGAAAAAAAATCGTTGCAAATTACCCGTCGCAAAGCTACTGCGCATGCGCTATAAGCGTGAACCACTTTTGTACAGGATACAGAGCTTGCCAAAGAAAGAGATATATCTTCCAACTTTTCCTTCATTTCTTTCTTACTCCTTTTTTCAATATTGTTTGTTTGTTTCTTTCTATCTTTCTCAATGTTGTTGTTTATTAGTGTGTTTGTTTGTTTCTCCCTTTCTAGTTCTTCTTTCCTTTTCTGCAATGCCATATGCGAGAAAAAAACATGCAAGCATTTATATAATTATAAAGTCACTTCATGACGGCTTTATACTTCAAATCATCTTCAACTCCCTCTTATACTTAGGCATATTATTCCCTCCCCTTAACCCACCTCTATTCACTTTTCAAAACATATATTTATATTGCATTTTTTTTATTATGTTTAACTTTTATACCTTTCATCCTCAATTCCGTATATCCTCTCAAAATGATGATTATCAGGTCCCCACCCCGTCTCTCTCTCTCTCTCTCTCTCTCTCTCTCTCTCTCTCTCTCTCTATCTCTCTCTCTCTCTCTCTCTCTCCCTCTCTCTCTCTTTTTCCTCTCTTCCCTCCTCCCATCTTCCCTCTGTCTGTCGGTCTCTCCTATGCAAGAGACACAACAACAACAACAACAGCAGAATGATATATTAGGGGCGCATTGCCCTCGGGGGTTCCCATAACTGCAAGGCTATAATATGCACTCTATGCACTGATGCTTTCCTGAATCCAGGGACCCCTCCTTCTGCTACCCCTGTACCACTTTCACAAAGATTCTAAGTCGAACTTAACTCTAAGTTGGACTTAAATATTATGGAGAGCCATTTGTAGCCTTATAATGAAATACATTCAAAAGCAAAATTCAAGTATTTAGACTTTTCATAAATTCCACATCAAGAACATGAAATCTACCAAGATAATAGAAAGTATGAATGATTTGAATCAACATGTTATGCCTTTTAAAATATTTTTTACAAAATATTTTCAATGATGCTTACGGCTTTCCAAAAGTATTAAGTCCAACTTAGAAATAAGTTCAACTAAGGATCTTTGTGAAACACCCCTCTGTATTTATCTTTAATAAATAGTTCTTTTAATGTTCTTATCTGTCTGTAAATATTACTATTTTAACTTATTAATTTTATACATGTCTGTAAGGGACCCCACTGGAAATAAGCTCTCGAGCTTTCGTGGGTTATCCTGTTCAAGCTGACTTTTTTTGGATCTGTTATTATTGTATATTGTTGTATATGTTGGAAGCTTGTCGAATAAAAATCAATCAATCAATCAATCAATCTACCCCTTTCCTTTCTCTATCCCGGCCCCTTCATATTACACCGTGCTCTGATTGATAGGCGCACGCTATTTAAACGGTTATATCATTGACCTCAGTACACGCATGGTTGATCATGTCACAAACAGCGCTCAAAATACACGGGGGCGGTGGGCGATTCGCCCCCGTGAGCTCCATAATCGCCCCCGTTAGGTTGCTCACGGGGGCGATTGCAAAATTAAAAATCGCCCCCGTGGAATTATAAAATGAAGATTATCTTTTCTGATATAACTTTAACATAATATTAAGTATCAATATTGAGTATCAATTTTCAAACCTTAAACCAATCAAATGGAACTTAGTCTGAAAAATACTCTAAGGTTGATTCAATGCGAGTGCACACTATGCTGAATGAATATTCATTTACACCCCACTCCCTCTTTTAAACCGAACCATCCTTTACAAATTATGTTTACTTGCTCGGGAAAATAACTTCTGTATTGAAAGGAATCAGGAGCCTGTATGTGACTGTATCGCGCCTTAAATTTCAATATTTTTAGGGCAATTAAGGTCACTTTTCTGTAGGGCACACTTCTATATTACAGCACAGATAGGAAGAATTGGAAAGGGCACACAAAATCTCCAAGGCCAATGAGAGGGGCATTGAGGCCAATCAAAGGGGCATCCAAGGCCATGACCTTGGTGGCCTTGGATTAATTTAAGCCCTGCTGTATACTTATTGCGTGTTACACAATTTTACAATAGCCACGCCTGCAGAGACAGAAAGGCATTAACTATATGCGAAAGTATGAATCAAACGCCCTACTGTCTCCAACCAGACATATTGTTAAAGGCCCACTGCACTACTTGTAGCTACTTGCACCCTCTATATAACAAACAATGCTTAATCGGTGACCATTGGTCCCCCATGATCCTCTTTTTCTTATGTTAACTGAGAGCTGAGTTGATGAGATAACCACCTGTCCAGTGACCTTGTAGGGCGGTCTAATCCCTCCTGTAAACTATGGCAGATAAGCTTTAATAAAGGTCCATCCATTTTCAAGATAAAGTTCAAGTTCAAGTTTTATTGATCTTTCATAACACACATTACAAAAATGACATGAATATAACAAGTTCGCATAGTATGGCGTTACAATAGAAAGATGAGGTTAAGTTGGTTAAAAGCAAGGCTTGAGGAGTTAAGGTCCCTCATACCTAGCTAATGAGTATGTCCGAAATGAACAAACTGAAGAATACTACATGCATTAAAGGTAAAGACCAGTTATGGTCATGCGATTGCATTGTGAAAGAAACGTTGTGGAATCGATCAGAAAAGGTTGATCATCTAGCATCTTTCTGCAAGGTTCTGGAATCATCAAAATGATAAGAAAATTGGCCCATTCTTCGTAAAGTTACAAGCACTATACACAGAAAGATGTATATGGGACTACCCTATATCTCTCACAGACCATGAGAGAAACAAATTTACCAAATATATGAATTAGTAGGCGGTTTCCCGGCAAATTTTTTATCATCATGTATTAGTCAAAACATGTTTTTTCACATGATTGGTAATGAGAGCTTCCATTTCATTTTTTGAAATTGGGGCGTTTCCAATACTGGTCTTTACCTTTAAAATGCTTACAAACTAAGCTTACTGAAGAGCTGAGACAAATATAAACATGAATAAGTATAATAAAATCTACTGACTACTAAATAATGGCTAAACAAGAGAAGCAGGAAAATACTACGAGCATAATGTCAAAAAACACGGTATAGAGGGAGAGAAAGAGGCAAAACAATAAGACTGAAAAACAGACAAAAACTAAACAAGACAGACAGATGAGTAGATGTAAGAAACGGGAGTAGATTATGCTGACCTATAGAGCAAATATTTTCTTAAATATGGATCAAACTATAAATCTAGACAATATCGACTCAAAAAAGTAACTTCAGTTTGCGCTTAAATACTTAAATACTGACCGATTGCGCTATTGTTGGTTCAAGGGATTTCTAAAACCTAAAGCCTTATAAAGGGCGATCGGTGATAATATATCAATGAAACGGTCATGGGTGTGCAATGATAACAGGGCAGGGGGGGGGGGCCTTGGGGCCGGGTCGCGTCCTCACTTTTGTTAAAGAGCATAATCCAGCCCTCGAAACAATTTTATTTGTACCTAACTTTAAAATATGAAAAACAGAATGGAGAAAGCTTGAAATATATTGGACCAACTTATGAGTGTTTGAATCATTAAGAATCGCATATTGGCAAATTGGCAAATTGGTGACTGGTCGACCTATGACCTATCCACGGACAAATCTCCGGTTTGTCATATACGTTTGTCCTAGTTATCCTCGGGGATTGTCTTCGGGGGTTAGTTGTCCTCGGGGGGGGGGGGGGGGGTAATTGTCCTCGGGGGTAATTCTCCGGGGGGGGGCCGTTCCGGGGGGGGGGGAATGTCCTTTGGGGTTAGTTTTCCGGGGGATAATTTTCCGGGGTTGATTGCCCGAGGGTAATTGCCCTAGAACCCAGGAAAACATTACTAATTATGGCTAGGTCACATATACACCAGGCCCCGTACGATTATCCCTACCCGGCGGTATCCGATTTTCATTTCTCCGGCATGTGTGTTCACACATTTTGCGGCGTCTGTGCTTCCATTTAGAATTGACAGAAAAATCATGAGGGGCCCGTCTGAGCACCGACCGGAGACCATGGGTCCTTTACGGGCTTTCTACGGCCTAACGGTCAGATGAAAACGCCGGGAGAATTGGAAGCAGCCAACTCAGCACCACGGAGCCCGTATGGCTGGTGAAAATATCCCGGTGCCCGTAGGAACTGTACGGAAGCCGGCCGGGCATCGGACGAAAATTCCCAAAATGTCTGTTTTTACTCGCCGTACGGGCCCCGGAGTGTATAGGTGAAAGCCCCATTACGGGGGGTAAAAATAGCACCCCAAAATATGGCCCCTCCGCTACACGGCTCGTGGACGATGTTCCGCATCGTCATTGGGTCACCCCCCTTTTTTTTAGCAAAAAGTTAGATCCGCCCCTGAGGGGCCTCCACTGAAAACTGCCAATGACAAATGTGTCATAAAAAGTTACACGTATCCCAAGGAGATATATCCAGGAGCAGCTTTTAGTTAAAAAGTTTTACTCTGTGTTACCTTGAATCATATTATATTGTAAAAAAAAACTAATATCCTGTGCTGCCAAGGATGACTGAACCGTAGGCTTTTCAAAAAGTATTGTCAGAATCCTCTTGTATTTTGGGCTGGAGCAATGAATGTGGGTCAAAAGCCATTATGTGTGTGCAGGGGCGGCGATTTCTTTTCATGACCGGTGGGACGAAACTCGAGGGAGGAGGGGTCAGTGGCGTAATCAGCAAGATCGTGGGGGGGGGGGTAAAGTATTTACGATCAGGTAGAGCAAAGCAAGTGGAGCGTAAATTGGCGTGGGGTCCCGGGGCAAATCCCCAGCGGGGGTCAAGGGGCGTAGCCCCATGAAGCTCAGGAGCTTTCATCATTTAATAACGATCAGAATGAGCATCTAAGGGGCCCAGAGGGCGGACCCCCGGAAGCTTAAGGTTTTAGGAATTTGATTACGGTCGGATGAGCATATTTTGATACCTTATTTGTGACACTGTCATGCACATCACTAATTAGAGTAGGGTAAAGGGGGCATAGCCCCCAGAATCTAAGGGGTTTTATGCATTAAATTACGATCAGATGAGCATCCAAGGGCTGCCTTATGACCCTTAG